TATATTAAAGTGTAATGCTTGCTAAATTGGAATGGCAGTACTGGAATTAAAGGTTCCAGGACCATCTCGTTCTGATCAAACGGTCAACTGATAACAACGTAGCTGTTACGGTACGCTCTAAGTCCGGAACCATTGGAAGTTGGAACTATTATGTGCACGCTGCAGAAGCCAATGAATCTACCGATCTGGAACCTTTGCGTGCGCTTGGACTCGGCATACACCGCCGTGCCGACAAAGTCGATCGCTCAATGGGTGAAATTTTTCAGCAAACAGAACCCGGGAGTGACCTTTGCCGACATGCCTGCTAACCTTAAGTCAAGCGTATGCGCATCATACACACCGAACGAATTCCAGATCGTGACGCAGCTCGGATATGATTCCAAACTCGAAGATAATACTCAGAAACTGTCAATAGTGCAGCATCGGGGACTCAGTGTGTAGGAGCATGGTCGCACCCGGTATCAATGAGTTATGTTTATGCTTATGCTTATGAATTATGTTTTATGTGTTATGTTTTATGATTATGATTATGTGAATCTTACCTAGCACATTAAAAAACAGGATCCGGTGTGAACAAGGACTGATATTCCAAGCGTCTTTTCTAAACCCACTTCTTAAATTTACAGATCCGTATCACTTGAGCTACTCAGTAAGAAGTGGTCTGGTCTACACGTTTTCTGTGTGGTGGGTACTGGTGATTTTAATTACAGAACGTCCGCCATGGAGGATTTCAACCGCTTGTGCGACGCTTTAGAAGTAGAACGTACCCGCGATGTACAGGCATCCAAAGATGTGTGTGCCGTGCTTGTAACAGAAGCAAAGGTTGGATGTCACAAGTAGGTAGGAATGGAAATGGGATGTTAAACGTTATTATTTCAAATTTATTCACACTTTGGCTGGGGTGTGCAGTTTGATTCCTACGCGCCCGAGTACTTTGTGCCTATACATCTTACACCCACCGTGATCATTTGAATTTTGTATCCACCAAAAAATTGCAACCGACTGACGGCGTGCATCTCCACCCATAATAATAACAATTCCACCGAAGCCATTTAAAGAAGCCACCGAGCCAAAGACTGCTGATTCACTACTGCCCGGTGGAAATCACCTGGCATCTATCAGTATTAGCTAAAAACTTTCCATGCAGCTGTCGCACTGACATGAATATGCTCAAACCAATTATGAATCAGAATCCTCATCCAGACTCTTTGAGATCTTCCAACAGGAATGCGCTTAAAAAAAGCACAGCTATCCCAAAAGGAAGGGAAGAAAATTCTTCAAACTTTAGTATTTTATTAGATTTTTTTCTTGTTATGTGCTATATTGTATCCGTAAAACATGACCGGTAAGATTGTTTGGGGGGCAATCGGGCGGAAGTGGGGATACCGGAGACTCCAACCGGTGAGGTCATCGCCTACACCTTCGATCTCGCATATGCCGCCGCGCCGTCGACCTGTTCGCCCCGCAAACGCCTAGGTTTGTCTGCTGCTTGAGTGTACGGAATTTCCACAAGAATTTAAGTCTGTTTTACGAACGGTTATTTAAAAAATCGGAAGTGTTTACAAGTTTCCGATAGCAAAGAGGCAGCCTGTGATCATTTGTGCGCTAGAAACCCGACCACATGCTGCATTAAGATCACAGAAGCAGTTCAGACAGCGTTCCAGAGTTGCCGAATTTGTCGCAAATAAAAGTGAATCCATTATGTTGGTTGAAAATTCTAAACCGGTTTTACCGTTGTACTCTGATCACATAAATGACCTATTGCGCAGTGTTATTCGGGACACCAGGGTTCAGAAGCAGGCGGTGGTTTTCGACTTACTGTAGAGAAACTCGGTTCGAAAACTTCTCATAATTTCGATAGTGTTCACGCTATCTGGGGAACTGAAGTCTTTAAGCAGAATGTTGCCATCTTTCTATCCGTTCAAAATCTTTTGTTACTGTTTGCAGGTAAACTGCTTGCGCCGCGACGATAACTCGGCGAGTTATCATATCGATTTCGCTCGTTTATTTCTACCCAGAGATAGTCATTTTTACTGCATTAGCTTGCTAAATCTGTAAAACTTTAAATTTCCACCGTTGCCCCTCACTTTATGGTGGAGCGATTGTTGTATTTTGCTTGTTACTGCACAACAAGATCTCATAGTCAAGGATAATCTCTTCAACCGTCTCGATTCCGCCTAAGCGGTTTCGACCATGTGGCAAATTTGGTCAAATTCTTCAGCGCCAAACAGAGACCGAATGAAAACCTGGTCCAGTTTTCCTGCGACTTTTGTGCAAAGGCAGCAATACGCAATTCACATACAAAGGAGGGGAAAGAACATGAGCGCAACATTTGGGATGGGGTTACGACTCATAATTATAATTAATATTTATATTTATAATTATGATAGCTGTAGATCGTCGACGTGTTACCACTGCGGAAAGCCGGGACACGTGGAAAGATACTGCCATGCCAAGCGGACAGCGAAGAAGGATGCGAATTGGGAGCATCAGCCCGCCAGGAATGCCAACGAGGATCCAGAGCACGACGACGATATGGAAGAAGTTGAACCGGAAGGGAACGAACTGGAAGCGAACGCTCCGAAGAAGAACGCGTAAAATTTTCTTCATTTATTTTATTATAGTAACGTGTTCTAAACTTTGTGTGAGGGAGCGTGATGTATGACTCATAATTATAATTAATATTTATATTTACTCGTATAATTATGATTTTCGAGATACGTTCATGCGCGCATAGCAACGGTTCTTAGTAACAGTTTGTTGGTCGTCTTGTGGATGTTGCTGTTGTCATTTAGTTGGGTTGTTAGTCTGGAAGAAACATATTAAATTTACATAATAATGACTTCACAGTTACAAGATGAAGTGACAATACAGTAAAAAAGCTCAGAATGGAGTGTATGCCAGAGCAGTACTCGAGATGCTGTGTGCTGTACTACTAATTTCTCAGACGGTTGGCGCGCGAGAATGTTAAGTAAATAAATAAAGCGAACACGACAGTGGCGTGATAGGATTCAGACCTTGAGGTACGGTCACAGATTTTGAAGAGGAATTCGGTTGTCATAACGCACCGTGCAACCTGCGACACGATCACAGATCAAAGCAACGCGTAATAAACTGCAAATGGCCCTTCCACAAAACGATGCCAACAAAATTGACCATAAGTGTGACGTACAAATTAATGTGCTTAGCAACGATTGTTATTTATGATTTTTGTTGTGAGCTTAAGATCCTGAGTTCGTGAGCAGCTGAACGAGCAATATTATTTATTAAAGTGAATGAACACGACAATAAAGAAAGGAAAACAGCAGCGGTTCCGGCAAGTAGTTTTACCGGTGCGACCATCGGCATCATTCGCCGGAGAGCTGTTACTAGTACTTGATATGTGAACTGTGAAATGAATAACAAGGAACTACTAGTCGCAATAATGCCCGAAAAAAGCGAGCAATTAAGCACAGCGTCGAAGAGCCAGTGAGGCAATACCGAGGTATTCTGGAAGACTGAAGTAGGTCTGTGAAGTTTCCTCCAGAAACTAATGATTTTTTCATTACATTTCGCCAAGCTTCAGCTGCACTGCTTTATATGGCTTTCCAATTTCGTCATACCTTCGCCATTGATTAAATGGACAGGGACGATCGAGTGCGGCATAGGAAGGCGACCTTTGTCGCCACCCGTTGTTGCGTACGAGAGACCTCATTATTTGTTTGGTCGTGCTGCAGTAAAGCACCAAGTAGCGACAGTGGCGAAAAAGTTTTGTACATATGGTCAGCGGGTAAACTACGCCAGCACCGAGCATTGTAAATTGCGACTTTTTGTTTAAATAATCGGATAACCTACCGCACTTGACAAAAATTCAGCATCCTGAAATTAGTGCGCCAAACCCACTTACCTGCTCTGTGTCTGTGAGTCTGATAAGGTACTGTATATCGTCAGAAATGTTGCGAATTTCCTCATTTCCGTCTTCCTTTCAGTGCTGAGGCTTTTTGACTTTGGGCGCTACAACGCGATTTTAGCCAAGCATTCTGCATTAATTCAAGGAAAAGCCAAGTTTATGCCAATTAACTGCAGATGTAAACACAGACATATGTACACGGCCACAGTAAAACAACTTCGGGGAATATAGTAATTATGGTGCAGCTGCAGATTAACTACTTCCGAACTTAATTAAAGGATTTTCTGTTAAAACGTGCAGTGCCATCATTTATGCCAGGCTACTGTAGCTGTTGTGTTACCTGCTGTCGAAGGTTGCTATGACAGCCGATGAGTCAACTAAGTACATTAACTATAAGCATTTAGCACTGGTCATTCGGACGATTACAAATACCGTAATTATACTAGAAGGTACTTGACAATAGCCAATTTGCACCACCCTTTAATTGCTTCTTTTCGGCGGAACACGCCGACGCGCTCTACCGTAGGCCCGTAGGCGTTATCAGGAGTGATCATCGTATAATAAATGGCCACAGTTAACGACATGTTGTTTTGTTTATTTTTGAAGCGCTGTTTAAAGCAGTTTGTGTGTAATGACATTGAGCATACGATTTTTCTAAAATTTCACCGGATTTTGCTGTTTTGCTCGGGATACACGAAAAGTTTGCCCGGGTAAAATATCCTGGGTATTTTTTTATTAGATCCTACTCCAAAGGTCCAAATGACAGATAAAAATGAGATAGAAATTCGGCTGAACAGATGTGAAACTGTAGCTCACGGTCTGTATGCTACAATCCGTTCATGTAACGTGCTCATGCTGTGGGTGCAAGACATGATGCATCGATCGATCTCACACAACCTGATTTTCAGACTGCAGCAGCCGGGTATTATGTACTATATGTTAATAACAGTACCGTACATGCACGTAGTTACTGTATGTCTGCAGTCTATGCACCCCGCCGGCCTCTTGTGTAATTATGGCATTGTGTCATGCGGCAGTTTTACGATCGTTTATACGGTGCACGCTGTGCACCATGTGATACATAGAGACTGCAATGCTGACATAAGTCAGTATGGCTTTCAACTAAACCATTACTTACTCTGTGCTCAACTGGCAAGATGTTTTGGTTTGAATGTGCTCTTAGGTTTTTTCCTAATAAAATTTCAAGCGCTTCCGTTGCTACTAATTCTGGTTTTTCTGCCCAGAATCTCATCTGTACATGTAAAGGCACGGATTAAATCACAAAAGCGCAGTAAAAATCTTGTGGCGTTGCCTTTTCACCAGCTTTCGAATTAAGCCATAATGTCCTATTTTTCTTGTGGCGCCCGACGTGGTCGGTTTAATCTGGGCAACACCGTCCTGGTGAATTTAACCAGCGACGAGGAATTTTTTCTGGGATATCTGCAGGACATTATTGCCGATCAGGTGTTTATCGATTTCGACTGCGAGCGCATCGCACCGCAATGGGTTTCCATGCAACGTGTGTGGCATCATGACAAACCCAGTATAACACTACAACTGTCCCGCGAGGTCTATGTGGCCATCCGCCGGGAAGCGGATGGGCCGTACGTCTTTGGCCCGGCGTTTTTAGAGTGCAGCTGCAATTACGCCAATCAGTTCCTGTGCTATGCCTTCCTCGATCATCCGTGTTACAGTTTCCAGACACAAGATAGTGTTCGTGTCGTCCATTCCTGGCAGGTTATTCCACGGCTACCCAGTGATCCCATGATCGACAGAATTTGCCGCTTGCCCATTAAGAAAGTAGTGTATCGTTCGGCGAAGCTGCGCGCGTTGAGTAGTATCCAAGAGTGGCATATTGAGCGGATACTGGATCTGGGGTTTCGCCAGGGGAAGCGCCAGTCGGGTCAGGGTCGCGATCGTCTATTCGTAAAACTCACAGACGGGGAAATCGTATTTCTGATTATGCGTATCCAGTGTAGCTTTCCCCACACCGTGAGCGTCGATTGCCTGCAGTCGACCTGTTGGTTGACAGCCACCACGCGGAAAGTTATCGCCGGGATCGAGGAATATTTGCTCCATGCTTCCCGAACGGCTGCTGATTTACGCAACTTCCGCCATCGATCGCTACCAAGCATCGCGGTTCTCTCTTCGCCCGCTGCAAGTAAACAAATACAAAACCCTCAGCATGGCGGTACTGCGGAATGCGGATCATATCTTGCTCAAATAATCTTAAAGTTCATTGGATTTAAGGAACATATAAAACTGTATATTGTTGTATAAAAAACATTAAGAAGAGACTTAAAATGTATAGAAACAAATATATAAAAAAGGAGTGTAAATCGGCGCTCAAAAACCAATCTAACTGTCGCGGCATTTGAAATGCTGCTAACATCGCACACGGTTCGTAATGCTACTGTAACACCACTGGAATTTTGTTTCTGCATTTATTTCAGGAGGAAATGAACCGACGCTTCCCCATCTGCTGCCAGAAATTTTGTCCACAGTCATGTATTATCTGGATGTTGTTTCGCAAGGAAAATTAAAGCGGTGAGTCTTTATAACGTTATGTTGTCTGCGTTTAATCTGGATATTACTTAGCACTCGAAGTACGTATTGAGGGGCGTGACCGCGGCAAACGGCTGCTCGTGCAGTTGGGCAATCATCCCAAATCTATGTAGATTCGCCTGGAATGCGAAACGCACCCTTGAACTTCCCTGTGCGACTTGTCACTTACAGCCCGTAAAAATAAGACTGCGGTTTTCTGTAGAGTGTGCCAGCTATGGAACGTTTTACTCCGCGACCCGGCATCATCGACACACGTTACCATTGATTTCTGCACACTCAGTCTGCAACTGCAGCAGCGGGCCGAGACGGAAGGCTACCGGCTCGGACTGCTGCTCGATCGGATCGTAAATGCCAAAACAAAAACGGTGGCCTTAGTTAACATGAGTTATCGGATGGATAACGTTGATCCCGTTATTGCGCTCGTTGTTGATGTACTCATTATAAACAGGATAATACTTCCTTTGGTTATTGTTAAAAATTATTGGGCACCTATTGTAAGGTCGCCATACGGATTATACAACAGATATACTCCTGATTTGTCCGAACGGCGAAAGATCCATTTTCAGCTGCTTTTCATGAAGAAAATCTGTCGCCGTATAATAGTGCTGAATGCAGTAATCAACTGCGGTGCCGGGAAAGGTGCCCTTTTCCTTTTCGAACGCAAAAGTCTGCCAGACCGATGAAGCGGAACGGCCTAATCATTGCTATACCCAAGCTGCATTTTGATCAGAGCGAAAGCGATGCGGAATATCTGATGCGGTTCAAGCAAGCGCTGGAGCGCAGCTGCCCACCTGTCGATCCGTCCGTTAAGCGTCAGATCAAAGAACTGCATGCCGGTTGGGTTAAGCGGTTCCCCTATCCTGGGGATGACTGGAATGGATTGCGGCACCTGCTTCAGCTGTACGTTGAATTCTGTTACCTTTGCATTTTCCCTGTTTTGTGGCTGCGCCATTGCAAAATAACACTGTACGCACTACGCAGGCTCAAACTCGAACAAATCAGAAAAGAATTTTCCGTTTTCAACTTACATGGGTGATGGGTCGTCGTCTGCTTATACAGATAGGTCTTAAACGGTAGAGGCAATTTATAACCTATACAGGGATCAATGCATGGAATGTTTTTCTTGTAGCTTTGGTGTATGCGAAGCAGCGGACCCTGCACAGTTCTGGAATGGCTTGGATTTGAGGGATTTCGATAACCTACCCATGGGAAATGTAGTACTGACTATACTTGCCCGCGTCCACACTTTCATTCTGTCTTTTCCCGTTGAACTCGGTGCTGATCTTGCTAAATTATTGAGTTAACAGTGAAACTGTGACAAAAAACTGCGTATTCATGTTGACAAATTTGTACTGACGTGGTACTCTTTGGGAAACTGGGACACAGGCCGGTGAATAAAAGGTTCCGTTTTTGTTGATCGGTGCTCTTTGTTAAACCAGTTGTTCACTAAGTTCAATTGTTAAAGCAGCGGCTAAAACCGTACTCTGGCATTCTAAAAAAAATGTGAATTAAATATTTTCAGCTTTTTAAATTCTGTAACGTAATCTTATGACTTTATTTAGATTTCTAGTAAATTCATCGATTTCTGTGTCTTTATACCAAGAATATTTTTTCCTAATTCCACAATTCAAGTTGTGGAACTCGGTACTGTATTGTAAAATATTTTCAGAAAGTTTTGGAAAGGTCAACATTAGCACCATAGTTATTTGTTTTGTTTTGCGATGCGAGTCGTAAGTACAAAGGGCGTACCAAAAGTATGTTTCCCTATTTTGCCTCGCTGCCATTTGAAGTAATAGACATGTGGTATATTTTTTGTTGTACAAGCAGTTACAATTATGTAAACTAACTAGAGAAACAAGAGTCAAAAAAGTCAATGAATAACTGGGAAAACCAAAACAGAATGGCGAGTACTACTTTGCATTTTTTCCACCGGTTTTGTCAGAGCTGGTTCTTTTCATTGCCACTTCCGTCCCTGCTGTAATTTCGACGGTAAATTTAAAGTATCGCCTGCAAATACTGTTCTTAATATTACTGCGATAACAGAATGGTTTGAAAAATTTACAGAGTAGGCCAAACATTTTTTTTCCACGACGTTAGCATTTCTTTTTTCGGCCTTCTTGCTGATATAAATTCATTTACTACATTTAAATACGGGCAGCCTATCAATATAGGCACGCCCTAGGCATACTCTTTCTTCAGGCGAAAAAACTGAATTTTCTGAGAGGTGAATCTCGGACCGGTCTTAGGTGAGTACAGAATTTTGTTGTTTTATTTGCCGTGAAACAAGTTGCTAAAGGAGGTTGAATTTCGCAATTAAAGCGAATTACAGGGGTGCTACACCAAATTGGGGCACTTTTCTAAACAACGGCCAAATAATCCTGTAAGGTTCCGTTTTTGCATTTGGACTTTCTTTTTATTGCAAATCCAGGAAAACTAAAACCGGCGCCATTTGAGCTGTCAGTAGCGGGCCGAACATTGATTTCTGGGAAGAGGCAGTAGTCCTTTTTGGACTGCTTATACCTGCCCCTCTAACAAATTCGCCAATTGAACTTTTCTGTTAACTGTTGAGTGTCCCAAAAGCTATTTGTCACGGGCCGGGACAAAAATCTTTCGTATTCAGTGGTTGACTTAGCGCTGCAGCAAGGGGTATATCCCATAGACTTGTATGTTAAAAATGGCCTACAGAGAATTGTGGTTGCCTAGCGCATAAACTGAGAAAACCTAAAACTGATACTTTTCGTGAATAAATTCTAGGTCCGGTTAGTTGATTTTAGTGTGCCGAGAAATACCTGCCTCATAGGCGAGGAGGTAGAAGCGCCAGAAGAGCTGGAAAAAAACCCAGCAAAGCGGCAACAACAAAAAGTCATGGTGGCTGTTGAAGTTTGTTGGAGCCGGGTGTCTTCGGCTTCCTATATGGATTGTGAACCTGAAGCTGACGCTTAGTGCTTTGGGGAACGAGATTTCATCAGAAACAGCTTTCTCTGGCATTCTGCGGCTGCGCGACAAGCTCGCAAATAAGGTCACCCTTCACTTTGATAGTGCTCGCGGAAGCACTGCAAAGGTCATAGAGGCTTGACTGAAATCGACTGTTGCCAAGCACCTCCTACAAGAGAACTGGAAGATAAACAGCTGTGGTTTATCACCTTAGGACTACGGACTCAACAGAATTTTAAAAACATTACAGTAATGGGTGTGGGAAAAGCTGGCACTCATACGGGTTTAACGGTTTTTTAGCTGATCTGCTTTAGTTTCCCCTCCCTGGGACTTGAAGCATGTTCTTAATGTAGAGATCTCTGGTTCAACAGATGCCTAACACCTTCGGCATTCAAGTAAAAAATATTTATTTATTTATTTAAAGACGACGGCAGACATGCAGTAATTTTTTGAAAAAAAACTGTCCCAACTTGGCGTAGCACCCCTGTATTAGTAACACAATCAGTTGCGCGGAATACTCAGTTAAGCAGCACATTAACTTATAAGCACATTACTTATAAGCAGCATTACTTATAAGCACATTACTTATAAGCAGCACATTAATTATTGGTAAAAAAAATTTAGTACTACCTTAACTTTAGAATACTTACTCTACTCTTTTGTGTAAGAGCATCTTTGAAGATATTTTTTTTCGTATATGTAAAAATTCATGTTAGACGGTTTTCCATTTGTAGCGCACAAGGTACAAGTTTTCCGTTTCAAGCAGAAGCACCAAAACTGCCATTTCGGACAGTTTTCGGAGCTGCAAAATACGGAATTCCTGGCGGCGCATCCATTCGTAGCATAGCAGCTAATAAGTATTGTTTGCTTAATACCGTTATACTTTCCAGTATTAATAGTTAATAAGCCGTATTACGCAATTACGCAAATTAGTTTTTGCTAATTTGTGAAACTATATTTTTATATAGATATTACGATGTATATTACGATAATATCATTATGCGAGTAAGCATTAACCGTAATGCAGTTTTAATGTACATAATATCTATATGTTCAACTGCGCAATAATAATATTATTATTAAGTCTACTATGTACTTAGTTAAAATATGATAGAAGCGCTGACTATACACATGAAGATCAGTAATGTGCTAGCCTTTTCTCTTCGGTATCGAGCTTCGACTTGTTACTTTGTGGTGGCAAAGCAAACTACCTGAGGCGCGCGCCCAACTAAGAAAGTTTTTTTAAAGACAAACAACGAAGTACACTAGCTGCTTTTACCGAGAATTTATAAAAGCAAACTGCAAAGAAAAGTCTTAAATTTTCTCGTGGAAAATTTGGAAAGAACCATTCTGTACTCATTAATGACGTTACCATACCCACAAGTTCACAACCTCCCTTTTACATTGCGATGAATCCGCTCATTCAATCCACTAGTGGGGGCGACTTAATCATCTTTCGACCGGATTCAGTGTTAGCAAGAACAGTGAGAATTGTAAAGACAACAATAGTTCTGGGAAGGATACAGTGCCATATTTCACAGGATTAGGTGATTGCAATCTCAGTTTTGTGTGAATACTCGCGTTTGAGTGCGGATTTTAATGGTTTTTGGATCACAAAGTGCAAACGTCAAAGGACGTACGTACGACCGTCGTAACAACTACTTTATGATAACCGTGCTCGATAGCTGTACGATAGCCGACGTAAGTGACAATCAGTGACAATAAAAATTATTCTGGAATCCGCGCACCAGTATGTGCTTGCACACCCACAGTGGCGAGGTGATGCTTTTGAAGTAGTCCTTTTTTCCAGCACGTCAATCACATAATTCTCTACAAAGCCTTTACACGCCAATTAATCGGTCGACCGCAGTAGACAAACAGCCAACGAAGCATTCCGACAGACAACGAATGCGGAACTGGTTGTGATCCCGTTCTGCCACAAAGGGCGAACGGGTGACGAAATAAATATACGACACTCCTAGCAGTTGTAACACAGGGCGGCGTGTTACTGAAAATTTTTAAAGCTTATTTGAAAGACGCCAGGATCATCTTAAAATCACTGGCGGATCATCTTAAAATTCCAGTAACTAAAGCTCACCGCAATGGCATAAAACTTTTCCGTGGTGTGCGCTTTTATAAGCATATTTGGGGGGAAAAATATAATATGTAAATCTGCGCCTAACATGTTGTTCCTTATTTACGTTACGCAGCGCGACCTATGATTAGTTTTTGTCATCAACAAACAAAATAAGATACACCTGCGCGGCGACATTTCCGTTTAAATGAACGGTAGAGACATTACTGCATTACATTACATTACATTACGGTGGAGACATTACTGCTGTATAGGAACAATAGTTCCTGCGTACCAGGTTGTCCCTCCCACTACTGGGAGTGCATGACCTTTCCCGACGTTAACGAAATCTCCCAATTTTACGGAAGATTCTGCTGTAATGGCTAACGTTTTCCATTTAATTCCTGCTACACCCCGTAGGCGGACCGTTGCTAGTCTTGCTGCATCCTTCATATATACGCGAAACGACCGTATAGCTGCTTTTATTTGTTTTGATCCTAATCATTATGCAATATTCTTTCCTCAGCACCAAAAGCCAGCTACTTCTGCAGCACCTCCTGCTCAGCTTATTCCTGCTCGTTTCAAACTTTTCTGTCGCAGGGCTCGCGTGTTAGCTGTGGCGATTACAACGCGGACAAATGTTAGTCACCGTGTCCCAATCGATGAATTCACGTCTGCGAGACTGCGACCATTGCTTCGATGCAAGCCCCACCCACACCTTCCATACCACTACTTCCAATAGCCAGTAGCTCTGTCAAACCATTGCGACAATTCACATTAATCGGTTTATGTGCGGGACTGCGTGAGCATCCTAATCACTTTGCGGCTTGTGATTTCATTGCAAGACGGTTTCACTTGTGTTTCGATCGGTTTCACTCGTGACTACCATGATCGTTACACGCCTAACGCATTTCTACCGTAGAACATCCACAAATTATCCGCAATTATCCAAAAAAGAAGTAAGCCATCTACATATTTTTTGGACCTTTCAGCTATATCCCAATGCCGAATTTCGTTATTTCTTCGTTAGGCCAAAGAATAGACGAGGACTCGACAGGGTGCAGCGCTTGAACAACGTTGTTCGGCAGATTGCACAAAAAGTTTCTTATCGAAAGGGCTCTTTGTAGAAATCTGTGCCAACTGTTCTGTTGAAGTACACCGCATACTGATTGCCAATGAAAACAAAGAACGAAATCTGGAAGCTGACGGTACGGAACCAGAACTGGTATTACATATGTATATGAAAGAAATATTCACTAAAAAAATGATTTATTCACAAGCATTACCCTGGAATGGATCGAAAAAGGAAAGTATGGCTACAGAGGAAAAACGGTCGTAAGATACCCGACTGACAAAACAGAAATGAAGGAGATCACAAACTTTTTGGTAAAAGTGTATCCAAATAATTT